CACGCTTTTGAGATTTGCAAAGGTCTAAAGTACCATGATCTGCACGACTCATTCTGATGAGCAAAGAACAATACCTTTTTTTATTTTCCTTTATTAGCTTTATTATAAAGTTATCTAACGAAAAATCAAAACTATGATGACAAATAAAACTTGCTCCTCATAATGTTCCACTAGCCTACAATTAATTTAATTTAATTTAATCATAGAATCTGGGAACAGTATCTCTATCATACCTAGACTCTCATCAATCACCACCAATGTGTCCATGACATGTGCATATGAGATCGACTGGAGGCTTCCATGCATATATAAACCTCCTGTCACCTCAACTGTCTTTTAGTATTTTGCTTATCACAAAAATCTTGCTTTCTATATTTTAATACCTGATTTAGGGGCAGTATACATGCATGTAGCATAGTCTAACATTATGGAGGTAACCAAACACAATTCATAAAAATCTTGCAAATCTTTTACGGGCCAATGTGTCCGTTGCGCACTCTAACATAAATCACTATTGCTTCCACCAATTGAAAATCTAATAAATCTATTTTAAAATTTTGAGTAGCAATATTTACTATACATAACATATATAAACGATTATGTATTAAAAGAATTTTAAAATACTTTTCTTATATTGATGAATCTAATCATTCCAATCTTGTATGGATCTATATGAAAATAAAATGACGTACCAAGTGTAGAGAGCTCCCGCTCTGTGCGGGGTCTGGGAAAGAGTGTCACTGACAAGCCTTACCCTCGCCTGTGCAATGCGAGGAGACCACGACTCGAACCCGAGACCTTCCGGTCACAGGCGGTAAGACTCTACCGTTTGCACCAGGCCCGCCATTCATGGATCTATATGAAAATATGAAGTTAAAAAAAGTTTGACTTAGAACAAATTATATGTGCTTATATTTGGAGAAAGTACTCATAAATGATCATTATACTGCTGATTTCAAATTGTGCTGTGTGTGGTCAGTTACTTTCCCTGTTCCCTGCTCTGTAAAACGCTGTTTATTTTAATAAATTGCCTGTAGGGGCCCAAAGCCCCTCCAGTTTCTTCAAAAAAAATCTGTTGGAGCCAAATGAGGTGCTACTTCATCAGTTTTGTTTAGGAATGCTGATCTTGATTATTAGCAGAGAAATAGCACACTAGCTACATAAACCAAAGTAATAACAGCCGGATGCACAAACAAATGAGCTGACCATATTCCTTGAGAATATTCATGGTACCACACTCATCAGTGGCTGAGCATGACATTGGTCCGTGATGCTCTGTTCAGTCAAGTATCATATTAGCAGTGCGGTTGGAGCCTGTCCTAGGAGTATATAGAATAGAAGCTGCCTTCTTTTTTTTTAAGCCTAGAAGCTGGCCTTTTTGATTGAAAAGAAAAAGGGTAATATAAAGGCAGACAGCAACCATCAACTGTGGTTCCAAGTGAGCAGAAAAGAAGACAAAGACAGCACGACCCATGTACTGGAAATCTGCAATGAAACTGGTGTGCCTATTTATACACATAAACAATTATTCAGTGGGCACACCAGGCTTTTCTACCATGCATCTTCCTGGTTCCTAGCTCTCATCCTGCCTTCCACTAGTCCACATGCTTAACACAACAAATGTTTGCTTTAAAATGATTAGAGTTGGTGGTTTGGTGCACAATCCTCTCTCCCACAGTGGCTAACTACAGGCTGTAAATTCCTGCTCCTTGTGTATAGGATCTATGTACTCATAACTCATGGATATGCCAGTGGCAATGTAGATATACTACTACTCATGTCTGCATTTTGCGATCCTGTACACTAGGTGCAAAAACATCATATTTTCTCCCTGATAAAGAACACAAGTCTGCAACTGTGGTCATAAGTTTTACTGGTCCTGAAGATATTTTAGTGCTAGAAATGCCAAAATTATTTTTTGCTAGGCAGTAGTATATTTTTTATTCTCCATAACAACCATTTCTTTTCTTCAAGCAATAACGCTGATAGTAAGCCTGTTCGGTTGACCTGCCTGCTTTCGTTTAGATTCTTTGGTTCAATGAAGAAATCTTCTTTTGGTGATTTGTGTGAGAGAAAATACTATTCCAAATTTAAAAAATTTACGATCGTTACTGACAATGCACGTACCAAAACGAATAGACTGAGTATCTTCGGGAACAAGATTTTTTTGGTTGATAAAGTAGAGCATCGTGCACGTGAATGGGTCAAGGAGGTAGACCAAAGGGCATATCTGACAATACAGTTAAAAAAAACTAACAAATCACCGTCTACTGCTACCGGTCATTCCATGTTAAACTGTTTTTTACCGTTTCTTTTTGACCGTTTCCTCCTTATCTTCTCCGAAGGAAATAGCAGCAAATCCCAAACGTTAACAACCCAGCCCATATCAGACACGCACGCTGGTCTTCCAAATAAACCGCAACGGTAAAAAGGAAAGAAAATAAATTCACAGTAATCTCTCTGGTCCAGCCCCACAGACAGATTAAGGCTCTGTTTAGTTTCAGAAATTTTTGGTTTTGTTTACTGTAGCACTTTCGTTTGTATTTGGTAAAAATTGTCCAATTATGGACTATTTAGGATTAAAAGATTCGTCTCGCGATTTCTCGGCTAACTGTGTAATTAGTTTTTTTTCGTCTACATTTAATACTCCATGCATGTGCCGTAAGATTCGATGTGATGGAAAATCTTGAAAATTTTTGGATTTTGGGTTACATCTAAACGGAGCCTAAATCACACTGAGGGCTGACCAGACCAGTCGTGCAGCATGTAAAACCAAGAGAGAAAATATTCATCCAACAATTTTAAATTTGTGTCTGATGCACCATCACTGTTCTTGTCCCCTGAACTGCACATATCAGACCCGGACCAGTAAAAAGTGAAAGTAACAAAGTGAGAAAAAAAACACCCTGTGCCCAAACAAAGCCAGTAGTAACCCCACTGTGATTGTGATTCACACACCTGCTACTCTTGTTGCATGCAGAACAAAGTGTACTCACCTAAAAATATTAAATTGATGCGCCTTAATCTTTGTCCTTTACTTTTCCTATTATAAATAAAAAACAAATAAACAATTAATACCCCCATCACTCCTCCCCCTTCGCCCCACTCCCGCCCCCCCCCCCTCCCCCTCCCAGGTGTTAATGTGGTGTTGAGAATGATGATGGCGGCTTAGGCGAGCTAGTGTGGGAGGTGAGGAAGGAGCACCCGGAGCTGGATCTCTCTGTCTCGGGGCTGCAGCTGACTGGCCAAGATCCTCCCCTCCTCTGCCCTGCCCTCCATGGTAAGTCCGTTTCTTCTTCGATTTGTGTGGAGTCATTTAGGCAACGGCAATCCCCATCCTGGCATCCTGGGCTGGAAAAGAGTTGGCATTCTTTCCGTTTCTGCGATTGCGTTTATCTTGGGCATGGAAATATGCCATTTTCCCCCGTTGTTTTGTGTGCGCGTGTTTCGCTATTGTTAGCCATTCTCGTGTTCCTCGTGGTCATTGACCAGGGCCGCCAATCTGTGCCCGCATAATCTCTGCATTGGCCCTTCGTTTTGCTGCGGGGATTTGGCCATGGATTCTGTTCTGCCCACTGCTCTTCAGCGGAATGGGGAATGCGTCAAGATTTTCCTTTGCGTTGTGCTTCTTCTTTAGGAAGGAGGACGCGACGAGTTCGTCCTGCCTTTTTGGTAATTTCTGGACCCCATTTCGCCCCTCTTTTCGCCCCCACAGATTTGCCAGGTGAACCCACTGTATGTAGGCCTTGATTTCTGCTTTCCTTTCCTTCTACGGTTGTTGCCTCCATATTCATATTGTCCTCGTTGACAGCAGCAAATGGCGCCCCTGCCTTGAGTAGGATTCAGAACTCGTTCGTCCTAAATATTGTCCTTTTTGTTTTTGTTCTCATTCTCAGCGGTGAGAGCTGTCTCACAGGTCATGGTTCGAAGTAGCCTCTCCGTAGATTTTACGACGGAAAGGCTTGTGTCGGTTTATGCCTTCCAGACCCCACTGGGTCTGCCCTTTTTTTTCTCTCATTGGAGCCCATCTCCGCCACAGCAGCATCCAGTTCATGAAATGAAATGCTTACTGCAGGTGTGGATTTCTTCCCGTGTTCTTCTTTTGGGTACGCGATTTCAGGCCTGGGGTGGTTGGGTCATGGGCGTTCTCTCATCTTTATTGCGTTAGTTGGGGGGCTTCTTTTCACAGCCCTCCTTTGCCCTTTTCTTTTTCTTTACCAATTTTTTAACCATTGTTTGATGCTCCATTCGCAGTAATGGAGGTTGCTTCCATTCTGCAGTGATCTTGTTTCTGTGCCTTTGTGTAGCAAGGTGATACACTATTCGAGCTGTTTTTGAGGGTAGGGTTCTGATTCTTCCCCTGGAAGTATATTTTTTCCCCAACAACTTTGGGTCTTTGTGGTGGCAAAATTTGGGCAGTGTTTTTTTCTTTCTGTTCTTGAGCAAAATTTTCTGCACATTTTCGGGATGCTCAGGTGTTATTTTCCATCTGGATTTAGTAACTGCTTCTCCTCAAACGGTCAAACCATAACACCAGAATCTTGTGAAAATTATTTGTTTTCTGCGTTTCAAAACCGTCCAATGTTAGGGCAGTAATTTATTGCATGAACGCGTAGCTAATCTTTATCTTTGACCACTGTTTGATGCTATTATTCCCCTCTTCGACTGTGCTGAGAACATGATATGTGGTATGAAGAAATAGGAATAGAGTCATCCTTTCTACCAATTGCAACTTTGATCTGTAAACTTGCGCGACCCAAGCCATAATGGGGCCAACATTTCATTTTTCAGTTCTACGGCCTAGTGCCTGAATTCTAGGAATGCTGTTTTGCGCGTGGTGCTAATTCTGAAAGTTTATGATGTTCTGCAGGTAGTAGGTTGGTGCTAGACTTTTGAGCAGATTCAACTCTAGTTGCTTGGGTCTACTGAATTAGCTTTGAAGCTACAGAAGTTTTCTTAAGAGGCCAGGGAGTGTTGTTCTGCTCTCTTGGCTGGCCTCAATGGCGATGTCGCCATTCAATCCAATGCGCAAGTACTCATGGTGGTGGGATAGTCACATATCCCCCAAGAACTCCAAATGGCTCCAGGAGAATCTCACAGGTAAATTTTCTTGGTTCACTATGGCGATTTCATTCAGTCTAGAAATTGGAGTGATTCTAGTCGTTGCCAGAAATTAGCAACGTGTACATGCCACTATGTACTTGAGTGTCAATATTATGTTTCTGTTACTAGTTTCGGAGGCATCATGTCGCAGAATTGGAGAAAAAAGAACTTCTGCATTACCTATTGTAGCGTCTATTGGGCATGAGGTTATCTTAGCACCGTCTTGTCTATTTTCAAGAATTTAACTGCAATAACATAAGCGTTTAATGCTAAAATACAGATCTAGTTGGATGCCCTTGATTCTGATTATTGTTCAATTAAACTTCTTGTGCAAAAGTCAGCAGATTTGTTGGGGACAAGTTCATAAATAGCTTGTGGCATAAATCTGTACCAGTCATGGGTTGCAGCTATTCTATAATGATTGGACCACTAACTCTGTTGAAACAAATTCAAATCTTGGATACTATGAGAGCTAACTTTCCTACGTTAAAAGCAATAATATTTGGTGGCTGGTTGTTCTTGTGCACTTATCTGGTGGTTTATTTCTTCTTTTGCTGCATTTATTAAACCCTGTACTGAATCAGTGTTTGTTAATGCGTGGTCACACAGATATGGATAGCAAAATCAAAGTGATGATCAAGATTATCGACGAGGATGCTGACTCATTTGCCAGAAGAGCAGAAATGTATTACAAAAGGCGCCCAGAGCTGATGTCTTTGCTTGAGGAGTTGTACCGTGCTTATCGAGCTTTAGCTGAAAGATATGATCATGCAGCTGGAGAACTCCGACAGGCCCATAAAAAAATGGCAGAAGCATTTCCCGATGAGTTTCAGTTGGACTTTGATGATGACCTGCCTACAGAAACTGCATCTACTGAAACTGAAACAGACAATCGAGATATGACTCCATTTTTCCTTTCATTCATCAAGGCTGGTGATTCGAAAAAACGTGCTAAAGGTATGCCCACGAAATTTAATTCTTCAATAATTGGAATATCCTAATAAATGGTGGGTCAACCTAATATATTAGTATTTCAGATGAGCAGGACCATGAGAAGCTGCAGAAAGAGATATCAAGTTTGTCACAGGAAAATCAAGAACTCAAGAAGAAAATTTCATCAGTGTTAGAAAAGAGCAATATGGCTGAATCTGAAGTTCTTTCTCTCAAGGAGGTCCTTGCAGAACAAGAAGCAGAGAAGGAAGCCGTATTTTCACAATGCCAGCAATCCAGTGATCGATTACAGAGCCTCAAGTCTGAAATATTGCATACCCAGGAGGAGTTCAATAGACTGAAAGAGGAGATGCAAAATGGACTACAGAATTTGAGCACTGCAGAGGAGCGGTGCCTTCTGCTTGAGAGGGCTAACCAGAATTTGCTTCTGGAGCTAGATAAGCTGAAGCTTGCCTCAAAAGAGAAGCATGACGAGCTAAATGAGAAGCACATTGAGTTGGAGAAGCTTAGTATCTCTATACAAGAAGAGCAACTCAAGAGCATGCAAGCAGAAATGGCCCGGCTATCTGTGGAGAAGCAATTGACACAAGCACAAGAAAAGCTAAGACTTGTGTCTCTTGAAAAGCACGGGGAAGCAAGTAAGATTGAGAACATTGAAGCAACCAGAGTTCAACTTCAAAAGGAATTGGAAAGTATTCGAGAAGAGAACCGAAATTGATGATCAAAACCACTCCTCTACCTCTGTGATAATTCGTCTTCAAGATGAGATAATTTCTTTGAAGAATGCACAGCGGCGTCTTGAAGAGGAGGTGTCTCGGCATGTGGAGGAGAAAAAGGTGCTTCAGCATGAGCTTTCACACCTCAAAGATAACAAGGGTGACTTGGACAGGAAGCACTTTTCGATCAAGGAGCAAATACAAGAGGTGAATTTCAATGTAGAATCACTCCAATCACTTGCTCAAGAGGTGAGGAACGGAAATGTTGAGCTAAAAGAGACCATAAAAAATCATGAGGGTGTAAAAGCCTTGTATGTTGATAATCTGATGCTGCTGGAGAGGACGCTGGAGAACAATGCTCATTTGGAGAGATCGCTTTCAGCTGCAACTACTGAAATTGAAGGATTGCGGGAGAAGAAAGCTGCATTGGAAGAATCACGCAAGCACCTTCATTCCAAGGTTAATGGGCATCTGTCTGAGAGAGCCATGTTTGTTGCACGGATTGAGGGTATTTCTCATACCATGGAGAAGCTATCAGAGAAGAATGTCTTCTTGGAAAATTTGTTATCTGACAACAATACAGAGCTGGAGTTGCTTAGTAGGAAGCTGAAAGATTCAGAGGAATCTACTCATACATTTCGCAACCAGAATTCTGTACTTGATCTGAAAAAGAACTCTTATGCGTGAGGTATGATGCTTGAACTCTCTTGCTTTCTGTTTATTTTTCATCCTAGTTTGAAAACTGTGTCAATTGATCCCTGGATACTTTCATGTTGTCAGGTGGATAGCATCAATAGTGCTCTACTCAGTTTGGAAACCCAATATGCAGAGTTAGAAGGGCGATATTTGGATCTTGAGCAAGACAAAGACAAGGCCCTCAATGAAGTGATCAAACTACGAGAGCTGTTGAGGCTAGAAAAAGAAAAACACAAAGAAGTCACCAACTCAGGCATGACTCAATTCAGTGCTATACAGAAGCAGATAGGCCTACTTCTAAAAGAAGTTCACCGCAGGGAGGACCAGCTTCAAGAGGAGGAGCACAAGATTGTTGAAGCTCAGACTGAGATTTTTATCTTACAGAGGTGCTTAGGCGACATGGCTGAAGCAAATGCTGATGTCTTGGCACGATTGCAGAAGCAACAAGTGGTATGCAAGGATCAAGCGGAGAAAGCTGATTTCTTGTCACAGAACAACCAGCAGCTGACTGAAGGGATAGGTTCTGTAGTTGAAGTACTGAATCTGGATGAGAAATACGGATCATTGGATCTGATGAAGGTTGATGTTGTTGTGCAGCTCCTCTTGCATGAGATCAAGTGCCTGTTGAATACTATTTCTGATGCTCAGGATGTGAAACAGAACCAGATCCTTGAGAAGTCCCTTGTTGTAACGCTTCTCGAGCACTTTGGGCGAGAGGTGGCTGACCTGAGGTCAGAAAGGAGTGTTCTGAAGCAAGAGTGGCAAACAAAGAGTGAGGAGCTGCTGAAGCTGCAGGGTGAAAGGCATGACCTCCTAAAGATCAGCTGTGAGCTACGGAAGGAAATGGAGACTCGTAACCGCAAAGTGGATGAACTGAAATCTGAGGCAAAGTTCTTGGTTCGACAACTGTCGGAATTGCAAGAGTCACGGCAATCGTTGCAAGCAGAGATTGTCAAGCTGATTGAAGAGAACACTTCACTCTCTAGCAAAGTTTATGGCTCCAAAGAGAAAGAGAAGTCATTTGATGATGATTTCAGCACACTTATTGGTGAGGCGGTCAGGACAGATATCCTTGGTGTCATTTTTAGAAGCCTTCATGAAGAGAGGACATCACAATTGCAGTGTTTGCATGAGGATTTTGGGTCTCTACATGCAGCAGGCAATGAGCTTTATCAGGAAATCAAGCTGATGAACAAGAAGCTCGGAGACCTACAGCTTGAGAACAACTATCTTGAGAAGGAACTCAGTAGAACTCTAAGCATCTGTGACGGCTCTGGTACAGAAATTTCCTCTGGAAGAAGGCGCGCTATGAGGAGGGATACAAAGCTATTAAAATCTGGCAGGAAAAGCCAAGAGATTGGCCAGAACATGGAACAGCGAAAAGAAGTTGACAATGCTGGTCTCGAGAAATCGAATGAAATGCTTAGAGAGGAGCTCCAGAAGTTGAAAAATGAACTGCAAGTGCTTAGGAGCAAGGAACAGCCTGTGATTGATGTGAAATCTTGTGATGCAGAGATCACTAAACTGCTGGCCAACATGCAACTGGCCACAGCCAATGCGTCTCTCTTCAAGGAGAAGGTGCTTGATCTCATCGTGACATGCGAGAGTTTTGAGATCAGTGACATGGTGCAGAAGGAGGTGCTGAAAGAGGAGATCACCCGGAGAAACTCTTATGTGGATGAGCTCAAGGACAAGCTAAATGCCATTGAAATTGAGAACAGAAGGCTGAAGGTTGATCTGAACGGCGACTTCACACTGCTCGGAGCATTGCAAACGGAAGTTGATGCCCTAGAGAAACAAACGTTGTCTCTGGCCAAGGATTGCCTGCCTCCAAGCATGCTCAAGAAGGAGGTATACATATATTCTGTTATCAGATTATTCAGGAATCTCTAATTTCCTTGCTCATGACTCATGAGACTCGCTCTGCTTATTGATTTTCCCAGGAGAACCCATTATCACCTCAACTGTCAAAGATTGCTGTGAGGCCAAACGAAGATCAAAACACCACAAAGATGGTGAAGGACATGGAACTGCAGAAACTCCATGGAACCATCAAAGCACTTCAGAAGGTGGTGTCAGATACAGGGGTGGTCCTGGAGCAAGAGAGGCTCGACTTCAACAGCAACCTCCAGGACGCAAGGAAGCAGATCGAGATGCTGAAGCTGAAGGAGATCCTGGACAGCGATGCCAGCGACGTGAACTACGAGCGGATGATGAAGGACATCCAGCTGGACCTCGTCCAGACTCCTAGCCGGCGAGCTGCAGTCTCACACGGGCGCCACAGGAAGAAGAACTCAGTGGCCGCGGCGGCGCAGTCTGACGACAAGATGCTCGCGATGTGGAGCGTGGATAGGGTGAGCAGTGGCAGCCGGCGGTACGATGTGGACCTGCGGCCGCCGCAGAGCGAGGCGGCCGAGAACGACAAGGGAAAGAAGCGGTCGTCGTCCGAGCCGGTGGTGACCGTGAAGGACCTCAGCGTGGACAAGCAGGAGGTCCTCTCACGGCCGATGGTGGCGGCAGCGGCAGCGACGGCCACGACGACGGAGCCACACCGGGAGTGGAAGAAGAAGGTGATCGACCGGCTATCCTCGGAGGCGCAGCGGCTCCGGGACCTCCGGTCCATCGTCCAGGAGCTGCGCGCCGGCGTGGAGGCGTCGTCGGACGCGGAGCTGGACGGCGTGAAGGCGCAGATGGCCGACGCGGAGGACGCCATCGCGGAGCTGATCGACGCGAACACGAAGCTGCTGAAGAAGGCGGAGGAGTTCACGTCGGCGGGCGACGGCGGCGGCGACGTGGACCTGCGCAGCCGGAGCCAGCGCAAGATCCTGGAGCACGTGCGCAAGATGTCGGAGAAGGCCGGGCGGCTGGAGCTGGAGCTGCAGCGGTTCCAGCACGCGCTGCTGCGGCACGAGGAGGAGCGCGCGGCGCGGCGCGCGGCCAAGGCGGCGGCCACCACCGTGCAGGTGCAGCGGCGGTCGCGGGTGCAGCTGGTGGAGTACCTGTACGGGCGGCGGCGCGACAGCCGGCGGCCCAAGCAGAAGGCCCGCGGGCCGTCCTGCTGCATGAGGGCCAAGGCCATCGACGACTGACCGACGACTCTGCTCTCAATTTAGTCACCCAAGCTGGTTAAGGTTAATTAATCTGGAGAAGATGCAGTAACTTTGTTTTTTGTTTAAAATCGTGTCGTCCTAGTAGGTAAATAATTATTACTGGACTGATCTTAGTATGTCGTTTTTTTTTACCTAAAGTAAAAGTAAGGTCTAAGATGTAAATGGTAGTAGCCTAGTAGGCAGCCATGACAGTGGCAACTGTTCTTCCTCGTCAGTAAAATTTTCGCATGTAAAATTTCAGACGGTAATCTTCAGTCTCATTGCTTTCCAGTTCTCATGCTTGTTCTTCGAGCTACCAAGAGGCGATTTTGGTGGTTTTATTATTTTTTTACCTTTTTTTTTTCGTGAGAGCTAAATGCCTGCATCTGCAAATGGACGTGTCTTTTGATTTCTACAGAAATGAACAGTGAATTCAGCTCGCCTTCAAAACGCTTGAATTGAGTCGCTTGCAGAATGATATGAACAGGTCGAATCTCTCTTTTGCCCCTTGTTTATGGGGTCACACTGTCAGAAGCTCTCTAGCAGTCTCTCTGCAGATGTACTTCAATAGTCGAAAAAAAAAGAGACTACTTCAACAGCCCCTGCTCGAGGCTCGAGCATTCATCAAGAGTAGTAGGAGCCTCTCCTACTCCTCTCCGCCCCTCGTTCCTGCGGTGCTGTTTAGGGCTGGACGGCTAGCGCTTTGCCTGTGCCATGTTTGGAACTGCGCTTATATAAGAATTGATTATAATCTAATTGTGATTTTTCTTATAAATCGCGGTCTAAAAAATCTCAGTATAGAAAATCAAATATGTTTGGCAATCTTGATTATTATGGCAACCTGAGGTGTAAAATGACCTTTGTGCCCTTCTTCTTTTTCTTCATCATCGGGTGGCGCCACCCGTATCAAGCTTGTTCTTCGCGGATCTATGGCACCCGTCTCGGGGATCTCCTCACCTCTCCTCCAACACATAGGGCATACTTTGAGGGCCGACACATCCACGAGGGCTTCTCCGATCGAGCCTCGAAGCGCAGCACGGGGAGCGCTTGAGGCGCCTCTGACCGAGCCCAACGACGGGAGCGAACGGGGAGACCAACAACGGGAGCAAACGGGAGTCACCGAGCCCACCGCAAGAGTGGATGGGGAGGAGAGGACGCCTCCAACCAAGCTGGCGGCAAGGAAGCGAAATGGAGGTTGTTGTGGTAGGTAGGCGCACCTAGACTCCGCTCCCCCTCAAGAGGGAGGCAGGCGATTACGACGGAGAGGAGTAGAGGAGCGGATGGGGGACCGGACTGGAAGGGTAACGGGCGGAAAATCCCTCACGGTGGAGAAAACGCGTGGGAGGCTGCGGTACACAAAACGCCGGTGCTAGTTAAAACTTGGATTGTTTTGGTTGCTTGATTCTCAGACAATCTAAAATAATTGTGGCGTTTGGGTGGAATTCTCAATTATTTTCACCTACAATCTGATTATAAACAGTCCCAAACATGCCCTATGTGTGGGCGTGTGGTTATGTGCTCTGCGGGATAGGAGCTTGGGCCTTGGGCCAACGGGACATGGGAATACGACATGCAGTAGTGGGCTATGGGAGAAAATCAGGTAATTTGGATGAATCGAGTACCGGATAGTGATACCTGAATTTCCCAAAATAAAATCGGGTACCTGGACTTCATACCCAAGATGGGGATCAAGTATAGTTCGGTTCAGGTTCAGTTAAATCAGGTATCGGGTCTGGGTATGGAGTATTTTATCCAGTCCTAGTCAAACAGGACCTAAGCCAGGTCTAATATAATGTACTTTCTCTGTTCTAATAAATTAAATTTTTTCTAGATATATAATAACCTTTGCTACGTTTCTAGATATATGCTATGTCTAGAGTTCAAAAAAGATATATGCTATGTGTAGATATATAGTAGTACAAACTATATATATTTAGAAAAATCAAAACAATTCACAATTTTAAACAGAGAGAGACTATCTATAGTATGCAATTGGTAGATTTAATGAGCGTTGGGTTGAACTAACCAAGATCGTAAAATGGCACTATAGCAGTAGGTGACATGGCATATATGGCAGATCAATACTTTACATTACATAATAATAGAAGAACCACCACGTTTATAATCGACAGGGTCTAGTAGAAATTATACAAACAAACCTTATTATTATACACAGTGCAAATTCTAACTATACCGATTTCCTATGTACCACTAAAAAACTAGAGTTCCCTTCACTAGCACCAATTTACTTTACCCCCCTTGTACGTGCCATTCCGGGGAATCACGTTGCTCTCTGTCACGTTAGAGCTACTAGTTTGGTATGTCATTTTCATCAAAAAATGCCCAAAGTACCCCTGTCTTCCTCGTTGACCAATGCAAGTGGTCACCAAGGTGAGGCGCTACAACTCCGATCCACCGACCTGGATGGGATGTGCCCCAGGCCTCTGGACGGACTACGTGCCAAGGCAAGCAAGCTCGGAGCTTGGCGGCGGAGAGCTCTGGGTGCGGGTCGTCGTCGAAGCCAACCGTGCCCGCGCCGCTCACCTGGCCATTGTCGCCATGCATGATGCATCCTGGTCGGACTAAGTTCCTGCGGGAGTATGTTACCTGTCCGTGGTGCACGATCGGATGGAGGCAGTGTGTTCCTCAGGTGCGCCGAGCAGCGCGCTGCATGCATGCTGTGCGTCACACCACTCCCGATCCCGCGTGGTTCGTAAGTTCTCTCCACACAGGCGAGCTAGGGTGGAGGAGTTGTTTCTTGAGCCTAGAAGAGCTGATCGATCCTATAGAAAATTAATGAAGGAAATTGTTAAAAGGACCTGGAGGAGAGAGAGGAGTTCATTTATCTCTGCGCATGAGTCAGCAAATATGGAACAAGAGGTGGAGAATTATGTTTTTGACATGAAATGTGGTTCGGCACCGAGACAGATTTAGTACTGCTCCCTCGGTCCTAAAATAATTCAATTCCTAGAATCACTTTAAGAAGTCAAATTGTTTGCCCATCTTTATATAAAAATGGTAACAACATCTATGACATCAAAGAAGCACATGTGATTGTATTTTATGATGTTTCTAGTGATACTAATTTAGTAATTTTGGTCAAAATTAAAATAGTTTTACTTAAGACACCTCTAGAGTTGATTTAATTTGGAGTAGGAGTTAATTACTATAGATGAGATTGTGGGAAATGATTAAAGGGGATCTGATGGACATGCTGAATGACTTCTACGTGGGGTACCTAGACATTAGTAGGCTTAATTATACACTACATGAACGGAAGGGCACTATATTCAAAATCGATTTTGAAAAGGCACATGATGCTGTGAATTGGAATTTTGTGGATGAGTTTATGATGAGAAAATGGATCTTGATAAGAAAGTAATTACATGGATTATGAGCACAATCAGAGGGGGCAGAGTTTGTATCAGTATTAATAGGGTGAATGGCCCATATTCAAGACTGATAGAGGTGGTAGTGGTTTGGACAATCCAAAGTCTACTTATAGACTTTAGTTGCTCTGGATGCACTTGCATGGGATCTATTTGGGTTTGAATGTGTCCATGCTCATTTGATCCAACAAAATCCAACATCTGCTGGACAAATCAAAAAGTCCAGTGTCTATTGGATTTATGTGGACTTGACTACTTGAGAGATCGACCAGTATGGGGCCCATGTATATATATCTAGTCAAACCGATTTGCACATAGCAGTGGGCAATCATATGAAGTCATTTCTAAAAATTTCAGTCGTTTTTGCTACAATTTTAAAGTGTGAATTCGAGGTTTTTAATTTTAGGGTTTGGCTTTCGACGTGGGCCCCATATATATTTAGTCACACTAGTCTACACAAAGTAGCGGGCAATCTTATTAAGCCATCTCCAAAAAAGATCAGTCAATTAAGGTACAGTTTGAAAGCAAGATTTTTAATTTTAGGGTCTGGCTTTTGGCATAGGGCCCACGTATATATCTAGTCACACTGGTGTACTGGGCAATCGTAGTAAGTCATCTCCAAAGATTTCGGTCGACCTCGCTAAAATTTTAAGGTGTGAACATGAGGTTTTCAATTTTACGGTCCAGCTTTTGATGCGGGGCCCACTAATATATCTAGCTAGACTGGTCTACACAAAGTAGCCGGTAATCATATTAAGTCATCTCAGAAAATTTCAATCGATCTCGTTAAAATTTTAAGGTACGGTGTGAACACAAGATTTTTAATTTTAGGGTTTGGATTTTGATGTGGGGCCACACATATATCTAGTCATGGTTGTCTGTACAAAGTAACCGACAATCATATTAAGTCAACTTCAAAAAGTTTTGGTCGATCTCGCTAAAAAATTCTAAAGTTTTCCATTCCATTGGAGGTGTGCTTGGTTTACAAGAATTATTTCTCAACCCTGAAAAAAAAAGGAATGCAGAAGCAGTAATCTAGTCACAGAGGGAGTAGAAAGGAAAGGGGTCGTGAAATCAAAACCAAACTTCAAGCAATCAAGCAGATGCAGAAAGCAGCCGAAACAGAAGTCATGGCCACCATATTGAGCGTAGAATTGGGTAATTCCAGCACCAGCAGGCCGAGCGGGCGGTAGAATTGCGTGGGCCGGCATGCATAGCACTTGGCGTGTGCATGCGTTTGGGTCCGCGGCCGCATGCACCTGCACGTACTGGTCTTTTTTCACGTTGCAGAGATGCAACATTACATCAAGGATTAGCACGTACCGACCTGGGGTTAATGATTGCAAAACCAATTTTTGGTAATGGTCCGGGAGGGAGGCCTGAGTAAAGATGACCGGGCAAGGGGGTACGGTGACGAAGTGAAAGGGATCGAGGGTGACGAGTGCCGCGAGCTGAGACGCGTATTTCGATTTCCCCACGCTACTATAGAAACGTTTTTTTTTTCTTTAAGAGGCGGCTCGTAACTCTTCGTAGGGGTGGTTTCACCAGCCATTCCTATCAAACTGTCTCTATAAATCATGCATAATTAAATGTGATATGATGATAGTCACA